CAAAAATAATGCCCTAAAATATAACACTTTTAGACTATTCTCTCCCCCACAGACTTCAATGCCGTAATCATCAGAATGCCACTTTTATCTTCCATTGATTATGTCTATTGATTGTCTCAACTTTTAAAACTATTGTGCTGGCAAGCTCTGGTGGCCTAATGGCAAGAAGCTGCACTGCAATCCAAGAGATGCATGGTTTGAATCCACCAGATGCTCTGCTGGAGAAGGAGGCACAATCTCCTCCTGTACCAGTCAGATCTGATTTGACGGTACACACACACAAAATAATAAAATAATAAAAAAATTTAAAAATAAACACACAAAAAAACTATTGTGCTGTATCAGCAACAATCTTAAATACAGATTGTTTTAAGCCTTTGTTGTTGTTATGTGCCATCAAGTCTCCTGCAACTTATAGTGACTCTGTGTGCAATAGCTCTGAAGCCTGCCGTGTCCTGAGCCAATCTCACTGACTCTGAAACACCTATCCCCATTTCTCTAGTTACTGTATCAATCCATCTCATCCAGGGTCTTCCTCTCCTTTGCTGTCCTTCCACCTTTCTGAGCATGATGTCCTTCTTCAAGGATCAGTCCCTCCTGGTCATGTGCCCAAAGCATGTGAGACAGAGCATCAGAATCCTAGCCTATAAGGAGAAACTTCATCCTCTCCAAACAGATCTATTTGTTTTCTTGGTAGTCCATGGTATGTTCAAGACTCTTCTCCAGCACCACAACCCGAAGGCATCAAGTCTTTTCTTTTACTTAGTCATTATCCAGTTCTCTGATGCAAAGCAAGTAATTGCGAAGACCATGGACTTGATTAGGCACACCTTCCTCTCTAGACTGACATCTTTGCTTTTTAGTACTCTGGAAAGGTCCCTGACAGCAGATTTACCTAATGGAATTAGACTTTTGATTTCCTAACTGCTGGTGCCAAAAGTGTTGATTGAGGAGCCAAGCAAGCTGTAACTGTTTTCAACCTCAATCTCTTCTCCATCTATCATGGTGCTACCTATTGGCCCATTGGTGAGAATCTTTATCTTCTTGATGTTGTACTTCAACCCATATTGAAGACTACACTCTTTGACCTTATGCAGCAAGCAGTTCAGGTCCTCCTGAGTTTCAGCAAGCAAGGTTGTGTCATCTGCATAACGTAGGCTGTCGATGAGCCTTCCTTCAATCCAGATGCCATACCCTTCCTCTTAAAGCCCAGCCTCTTGAATGATCTGTGTATGTATGTATGTGTGTGTGTGTGTATATATATACATATATATACACACACACACACATATATATATATATATAAAAAAATCTATAAATGTATAGATTGAAAAAGTATGGAGACAGGATGCATCCCTGATGCACTCCATTCCTGATTTTCAACTATACAATGATTTAAGGCTTTCGGATTTAGAAATCTAACAAATAAAAAACTAAGAGTTCTCAAGTGTCTGATTTTATAAGTCAAACATTTTGTCAGTGGAAAATAATAAAATATTAATTCAATATCAATTACTTGAAATGGAAAAAATTGTCAGGTATTTAATTTGTTAATAGAAAATTTTTTGGTAAAAAAAGAAAAAAAGT